ACTATGGGAGTATATTATGCTTATAAATTACATTAATACAAGATTTTCAAAATAATATATATGCTCATTTCAAAATATAAAGTAATTATATTAAAATTCATTTTGAAAATAAGCATCAATATTGTGCGTATCTATATATATCGCATGTATCATATCTTTACTCTTTTTAGAAATAATACTACCATCACAGGAGATATTGTCTAACATATCACTAACAAATGTGCTCATTTGTCATTTCATTTTCTATAATCTTTTTCATTTATACACGCTAGTACATTCCGTTCCCAGTTAGTACCCTAAGGGGATGTGCCATCATTTAACACGCACATGCAAGCATTTCTATCTAAACATTTCATCTATATGACATTCATTAATTTTATGTAGTAATGTAAAACATAACATGATAATTATTATCTAATTTAAAATGATCAATCATTGATGTGTTAAAGATGAATCGATTTCAATAACAATTAAATGCATTTAGAAGAAGCAATAATATTACCGTAATTTAGGAAGATAACTACCCACCTTAGATTTAGATGTTTTGAAGTTTCATTCTTACTCCTTTTTTTGTTTTTGATATATTTAAAACCTATATAATGACATTTATGTCATCAAAATATCTCGCAAACTCTTACCATTTTTTTAATCTTTTAAATATATTATTTATCATCAAATAAATTTTTTAATTAACTCTTATATACACACACATACTTTTGCTCTCTATATATTACTAAAAAGTAATGTAATATGCATTACTCAATTATTATTAATTTAAATATTTTCTATTTTACTGATTTCTAAAATTTTATTTTATCACTTATCTCATTAATAATTAAATTTTATTCTGCTCTTTCATCTCTCTATATGTAAATTTAATACTTATAATTCTAAATTAAAATTTGAATCATAATCTAATTACTTTTATCATCTAAAATAAATTTTCTTATCAAATATTTTCAATTCTTTAAAAATATCTGCACCTCTTAAGATACCTCATAATTATATATATATATATATATATATATATATATATATGATACGTTATCACAAAATTAGCTTGATTGGGCACGAATCTCGAAGCAAAAGCTAGTTGGAAACTTC